ATATTGAATTCTTCTTCTTCTTCTCCTGCCCCTGAAATACCAGCCGCCACAGACTGAAGTCTAGGCGGCAAAAGCAGCTGCTATTAGTGAGGCGTGAGAACATGCCGCCAAATCTACAAAGGGCCCCATCCTTACGTAAAGAAATAGACAGCTACACCCAGAATAGATTTACAGTGGTAAGAGCCGTCTGGGCCAGAGTGGGAACCCATGAAAGATGTCCATAATGAGCTTTAATAGTGTCTGTTTCATCTGTTTCAACACTATGAAGTGTTACAGTTGCATCAAGCCACAGCTTTCTGGGTGTGTGTCTCTGAAAGCAGCCCGGTCCAGGCTTGTCCCAGCACAACCTCCAACTGTAATGTCAAATTACACATGCATCAGCCTTTATGAATGACCGTCTCTTCAGGAACATGCAAGGGCAAGAATGCACCACTCAGACACAATCTACAGTTGACACCATGAGCAAAGCTGCCAAAGATGTAGTCACGTGCCTGTTAGGGCTTCCACGTGATAACACCATTATCACCATAGTTTGCATGGCAGTCACTGTCCTGACTTCATCACAGGAAGCTAACACAGAGAGCAGTGAGTTTAAGCTCTTCGGTCCCTGATCGCGTACGTAGTAGTATGCAAGGTTGTAACAGATAACTACTAGCATGTGAAGCTGAGGCACCTATCTGAAAGGCTCCCAAATATACCCAAGGAAAACCATTTCCCACACTGACCACAAATGACCACAAAACCAAACGATTAAATCTGCTCTAATGGGAGCATAAACCGAGAGAAACTGGCTGGAGATCAAGCATGACATCACTAGCCTCGGAAGGGGCCCCCAGCTCCACTAGTCACTACTGTTAATTATTAAAAGCAACTTCCCAGCAAGAATGCAGCTGAAATATGGAGCTCCTCGTCTCTCCTTTCAACTGCTGTGGTTCTGGCAGAGGACTCGAGAGTAAATCTTGTTGGAAATAAATCCCCAGCACTGCACAGCAGGGTGTCACAGCACTGTGCAGCTTTACAGGAGCGCACTGGCCAACTTGTTGCTCAGCAGACTCTTACAAAAAAAAAAAAAGGGATGTTGTGCAAATACTGCCTGTCCCTGTCGATATGGACCTTGATAACCATAAACTTACTGTGTTTCTTTTGTGGAGTTTTAAAAGAGGAGCCAGGTGGTTCGAAATCCTCAACCAGTGACAACAATCCGGTGACAGAAATAGGTCTCTGGAAAAACATTTTTAAAGATTCTTAACGAACATGTTTATGACTTGCACTGCTGCACACCGTTAACATGTTAAATCAGTGTCTCTCAGCTGGGTGGGTGTAGATGGAAGAATATTAAGTAAGGAGATCACGACCAGAGCGTTTACCTGCATACATCTGCAGACAAGCCACTGTAGCAGCAGAAACACCCTGAGACCTGCACTGCCTTTGTCCCTATGCTTCACCCAAAGCAGATGTGTGGATGAGCAGCATCCACTCCAACATGTGCTCCTGCTGCTGCTGCATTGCAATCCCATCTATGCGGGTTATTTGCTGCATATGATGAGCATCAATGGGAAATAAACGCTGCTTCTCCCTGACACAGCACTGGAAAAGCCCCCTCTAAAGGCAAGCAGTCTATAAATTGTAGGGGGGGGGACTCAGAGCATGCCTGAGGGGGCAGGCGATGGTGAGGGGCGGTATAGGTGGGGGGTAGGGTCCCTTCCACACACACACACACACACACACACACACACACACACACACACACACACACACACACTGCAGTAACGCAACACAAAGGAGTTTAATCCATGTGAATTCATGACAAAGGGTCTCCGAATCGACATCACCAAGGATTCCCAGGAGCGAGGGGAGAGGAGGGCATGCCTGCCAAAGAAAGCCCCCTCCTCCTATTTATGTCGCCTCCCGGACCGGGACAAATAACCAAAAACACCGAGAGGAAATTAGCCCATCAACACGGAGTGATGCTATCACGTGGAACCTTTAATTACCCTCTCAGTAGAATATCAACAACGTTTCTTTAGTTTATTTTCCCACTAGCAGACATTTTCGGGGTATTTTCGAGAAGCTTCATGCGTGGACAAAAGCACTGCAGGTTCACTCGAGTACGAACCACCGCGCGCTCTGCCACAGCGTGCCATAGCAACAAAGTAATTCCGACAGAAGCCAATAGCCTCGCGCTGACCATCGCGCCCCGCCAGGATAAAATCACTCACCTCGAGAAAAAAGAAACTCCCGCTTCGTCTCTCCGTGCTTCGTACCGACCGCAGAGGTACTCCGAGGGAACTTTTTTCTAACCTATTTCAGTCTCGCCTGCTCCGACTGAGTCCGCAGAAGACCTCAAGTCCTTCAGCCAGCTTGTTCGCAATCCGCCGCCTCTCCACAGGCTGTCAAGTTCCGAGCGGAAACAGCGCACATCCGGTCATAATTGCCAAAATAAATCTGCCTCCGTCAAATTCTCGCTATTGGAGATAATCACGATAACGCTATCACCATAAGAGCCATATTTATATAATCATAACAAAAATAATAATATTATTAGTAACAGACAACCTTGCCTTTGCACTTTTCTATTTCTTGGAAAATGAATTACGCTTGATGCAGTCACACAGCTGTGGGGCACTGACAGACTCTGTACCCACAAATGTACAAAACAATGGAAAAGAGTTTTATTTAAAAAATATCAAATGTGCATTAATTACACATTTTGGAGGTTATTTAAAAAAACAAAAAACACGGTTATCAAATCAGCAACAGATAATTATATTTCTTGGTTATTTTATTGTTTTATTCGTCTTATGCTACGGGAACTTTACAGGGAACTTTTGTTTTGAAGTTAATTTGCATCGTAAAGAACACATTTTATTATATCTATATTTTTGCTCACTAAAATTTATATCACAATACTCCGCAATACTAATTTGTCCAAGCATAACAATCTCCTCGCTGAACGGAGTTGTAGTCCTTGGACTGTGCTACTATATTATCATATTATACACATTTCATCTCAGAGGAAATCCTCACACATAAACACACATTTGTTTTGTTTTTTTAGGAAGAAAATTTTACTGTGTAAAAAAAACAAATCCTTGAAGGCTTGGGGAGTTAATTAACTTGCGTTTATAATCCTACATGATGTGATAAAGTAATCAGCAAAATTTTCAGTTGAATAGTTTTTAGATTTTTGATGGACCTTTAGTTTCATGAACAAACAAACTTGTTTCCGGTTTGAGTTCGCGTACTTTATTGCACCCTGTGGCAGTTGGGGCATTTAACACAGCAGTCGTCTGTCACTCCCACTCCGCCCGTCTGTCAACGCTGATAGACGGGTTTCAGAGCCTCGAGGTCTCCCTGGCCTCTCCCGGCCGAACACCCTGGGGGTCTTTGACTTTGATCTGGTAAACTTGGAATAGTTGTAAATTTCCTCAAGGTAAAGGTCATGACAGTAAGATGAAATTATTTCCCTTCAGAACCAGGCTTTTAATTCTCACAGTCTTTAAATCGTGTAACATCACCAAACATACATACTGAGCTGAAATTTCTTTTGGTGATCAAAGAAGAGTGTTTTACCATCCAAGCAGGAACATGAATGATTTAGTGCCAGGAAGCAGGGAGGCTTCAGTGGAGTCACTCACCCAGACTTAGCCTCTGGCAAAAACACTACAACCATAGTATCTTAGAAAAATGTATGAATGTGTCATAAACAACTCTGTGTTAAAACACAACATGTTGTTGTAAAGAGGAAATGACAGTTCCGAGCACTGATTTCAGTACACATCAGTCTTGTTTAGAGAGAAAATGTTAATTCAGACTTTTATCACTGAGGGCAACATTGCACTTTTCCATGCGTATTGCTGTTCCTTTCGCTTTTGCTGTTTCTTTGGAATTTTGGAATGCCAACTCAACTTGGATTTCCTACTCAGAGAGTCAGAGCAGCCCCGCCAACCACAAGTTAGCAATCCAAGATGGCGGCCTTCAATATAAACAGTAGAAAACGAATCCCGTTTTTTCTCACTTTCCTGACTTTAAAGCTGGAACAGGCTAACTCGGGAGTGTCTGGAAAACAGCATAGGAATGCTTTCAGTGGCTTGCCTTGGTTGAGTTAGGACACCATCCTGTGGTACAAGTTGGTATGACGCAAAAGAACAGCCAGGACCTTTTTCAGCTCCCGTTGATGTTGTCTCAGTCTTGTCAAAGTTTAGATCTCACTCAGATGTTAAACTGTTCAATGGTGCCTGAGTTGTGTCTCCCCCGCTAAACTGAAAGTAAAAAAAAAACTTCCCAAAATACAGGAAACCAAGTGTCTGATGCTCAGAATTTTCTGAGGCAGGATTCCCCACCTAATGTGTTAGGTAGGGAATTTGTTTTTCTTGTATTTATTTTCCTACTCGTCGTCTGGCTGCTCTTTTTAAGGATTGCCACAGTGGATCATTTGCCTTCATGTCACCCTATCCCGAGCATCCTTCTCTGTCAAACCTGTGTTTGGCCCATGACATCCATCAATCTTTTCTGTGGTCTTCTTTTCCTCCTGTTTGGTTGTTTATTTTCATACCCTCTCATATTTTCTACATTAATCAGCTCATCAAAGTCCTCCTTTCACCTTTTCAACACTCGTCATATGTTAGCACATTTCCATCTCTATTCTTAATCATGCTGCACATACTCAATCTCTGTCTGCAGCCAATCACAAGTCCCTTTCTCCTTCCTCAGCGTCCAGTCTCACATACAACTCAGTATAAGCTTTTTCCTTTGCTACCGCTCACTTTAATAGGTGCCCCCCCCTCCCCCATATACTCCTGTGTAGTTTATTCATCTCCTCAACTGTGTGTTATACTTGTATAACTATGCATGTGACAAATAAAGAACCTTGAACTTGAACTAACCCCCCCTCCATTGAGTTATCCCGATGGTACAGGAAATAAAGTCACCAAGCAAGCTTTCAAATTAAAGTTTATTAATAATTATTAATATATACATTTGAAAACTGCAGTGGAAGCTGAACCCAGCACTGTAGTAACAGATTCATTTAATAAAATGTTAAATGTTTAAGGGACAAAAAACTGCTGCTTCAGCATCATCGTTATTAGCTTGTTAAGCTATCACACCAAAATATGACAGCAGTTCCAGATTGATTTTATTGAGGTATCTTTACAATAATAACAATTACACATAGGCAGATCATTCTCTGTTCTATAATGCTAGACACGGTCATGCTTTATGCTTATGCCATTTCTGCCCTCTGCTGTCTCCAGCAAAAGGTGCTGCAATGCAGCAGTGCAACTTCAGTGACATAAACTAAGACACAGTCGTGAAAAAGAAAGTTTTCACAGTAGTCTGTGCAGTCCAGTGAAAAACTCAGTACACCCCACAATTCAGTAGCTCGTATAACCTCCTTAAGCAGCATTAACTTGCAGTAATTGTTTTCTGTATAACTTTACATCATGTGAGAATTTTGGCCAACACAACTTTACATTGCTTCAGTTTGTTGAGTTTTGAACTGAATTTATGCATAAGGACATTTCAATCAGGTTGAGGTCTGGACTGTCACTGAGCCAAAACAACACCTTTTCTTTTTTTCAGCCATTGTCCTGTTGCATGACCCAATTTCAGCCAAGCTTAAGCTGTTGGACAGATGGTCTCACACTTGGCCTCATCTACCCAGAGAAGTCATGCAGTTCCTTCAGATACAACTTTGCAAACCTAAATCATGCTGCCATCTTCCTTTCCAATAGATGAGACTTTCTCCTGGCAACCTTTCCAAACAAGTCATACTTGTGCAGTCATTTCCTAATCATCCTGTCATGAACGTTAGCATTTAGCATGCTAAGAGACGTAGCTCTTGGCGGGGTTTTTTTTGTTTTTCAGATTTTCCAAAAACTCCACAATCTGACCTTGGGGTGAATTTCTGGTGATTTTCCCCTGGGAAAACTGTGGAACATTATTAAAACACATCCGAATGTTCCAGACTAGCAAACTGGCAAAACATCTGTTTCATAGAGGCGCTCACACTTGCTGATGATCTGTTAATCAAGTGCATTTGATTAGCAGCACCTGGCTACTATGTGCCCTCGTAAATCCTATGGGAACAGTAAGAGTGGACTGCACAGAGTCCTGTCAAAACTTCCTTTTTCCTATGAGTACAACTAAAGTGGGGGGTTTTTTGCCTTCAAAAGTTTTTGTGACATCTGTGAATTGCACATGTCACATTTTAACCAATCAATAAGTCAACAAACAGACGAAAGAATCAAGGCCTTCGTTCAGCCTTGTTTTCATCTCTGCTCTCATGCTGAGGTGGCCATCAAGGTCTGATACTGTATGTACATGCATGTTGGCACAATGTAAAATATTATCTGTGCCTGGGAAAAGGAAACACACCAGCCTGTCATAATAAAAGTGGATTTTGCAGGACACTATTACACGTTATGAGTGCTTACAGAGCTTAAAAGAGCAGCTTTGCAGCTTATGCTGCGCTTATGTACAGTAAATAAATACACATTTAGACATTGGAAGAATAGTGCAACGATTCAGCTGATGGATGTCCACGTCAGTCTGCTTCTTTGGTTTTGTATCTGAGTGAGTATTAGTACCATCAGGGACTGTGAGGGGGAGAAATTTTGACAACAATTAATAATGAAGTCCATAAACTTGTGGATAGATGCAAAAGAATGAATGAGAAAAGAAACATGAATCATCTTAGAGTTGATAAGTTGGTCATCACTGGCTTGTCACGTTTTTGTGTCCCCCTTTCTACAAGACTGAATTAATCAATTTTCAATATGATTAATTTATCTCTATCAACAGGATACGTATCAGAGGCTTTTAAGGCAGCTGTAATTGAGCCATTATTCAAAAAGCCTTTACTTGGCCCATCTGTCTTAGCTAATTATAAACTGGGAGGCCATCTTCAGACAGAGGTTACTCAAAGTATTAGGATTAAGCAAACATGAACGCTAATTCATAAACCTGGGACTGCAGGGAAACAGGGTGCATGTTTTTCTTGCCTGTTATTGCCTCCTCCTCCCTTAATGCCGGTAGGGTGGTTGTTCTGGATGAGGTTGGACCTGTTGACACTGAAGTTTATGGGAGCCCCTGGCAGCTGACCAGGTCTGATAGGCTTGGCTGGATTGGACACAGCGAAACAATAACAATCATTTACAGAGGGAAGGTTAATGGCCCACTGATATTTTTAAAAAACCCAAACACTAATTTCTTTCTGTTTGAGAATCAGATGAGAACATTAATAAAATACTGACGTATATGCATCATTTTAGTGATAAAGCTAGGCGGCTGTTAGCCTAGCTTTATCACTTTAGTGCTAAAGCTAGCTGGCTGTTAGCCTAGGTTAGCATAAAAATAAAAAACACTGATCAATGATTAGCCTGATCCTGTCCAAAACAACAAAAAAACTACAAAACGTACAAAACCTACTATAATAATCATAGTGTTATATATATGTTCCCTGGTCCCAAACTCCGCCTAGATTTGTTAGTCAATCTGGATGAAATTTATTATATAATCTGCCCAGGGTACCAGGATTATCAACATCTATATAGCTTTTGAGAATTATTTTTATAATGTGTCATACCTGATCTCAAAACAAACAGCAAGATTACATCAAGCTTAGCTAACTGCTACCTTTTAGTCTGGTAAAAGACGTCGCTTTTTAAAACAGTGGTGCCACCTACCTATCTGTGCTGACCCTCTCCTGCCCATGTTTTTAGGCTTGGCGGCATCCTTAATGCGCTCCACCTCCTGTTGGTAGCGTTTACGGTCATGGGCTGCATTCTCTTTGGCTTCCTTTAGGGCGGTCTCCAGGGCTTTGACCCGTTCAGCGGTGGCCCGCAGGCGCTTCTCCATCTTTGGGATTTCGCTGCGTAGGTCATTGTTGTCCCGTACCAGCTGTGGAATTTAAAACAGAAGAGAAAAAATAGAGCTTTTAACCTTGAGATGCCAGTTTGAGTGGGAGACACTCGTCTCACTTTGTTTGCATCTATTTCTACCTGCTTGTGAACTCTGGTTAGCTGCTCCAGGTTGTTCTCCAGGAAGCTGATCTTTTGCTTCTGGGCAGCGCTGCTCTCTGTGTCCTCTGAGTCCATCTGAGCATTCTGTCCAAGCACAGCAAACAACTTTGTTATCTATGTAATTTATTTTGTTGCTTTCAGTTTTTCAAATCCGTGTCAAAGTGAAAAATAATTCTGTAACCAAAGAGCCCTGATCCAGATAATCCCATCTGTGCCTAAATGTGGTGATAAGTAGCAGTTTTTGGATGAGTACAGCAGCATAATATATTCTCTGTGTGCTCCAGGAAGCACTGCTCTGCCTTTGTCTCATCAAGCTTCCGCTGGAAGGCAGGAGATGAGCAGCACTGAGGGCCCAGGTCCCTAAATTACAGCTGCTACCTTTGAAGAATCAGATGGCCTACTTATTGCAGACACTTTCTGTTGTGTTCCCTGGATTCATTAAAATTTCATTAAGGATGCAGATTTAATGGGAGTGTTGCCGGTGCATGAGCGAAATATGGAGCTGTTTGACTCACTCCAGGTAAACGTCGTGGTCGAGGCAAGAAGAGCTCATGTGATATTGTGTAAGACAGGAGTCTTAACAGATGACAAATCAGATCACAAGATGGCAATTACTGTGATGATCCACCATGGCAACATTCAGGGAATGGGAGGTTACATATCTGCTCCGAGAGCTGAAATGTGTTCCATCACAGAAACACTTTGAGGACTTGTACCTTTTTTAATCTTGTGGATAAGTCTTGGACAAAGAGCCTTCTCAGGTTGTGAAGTGTCTGCAGCTCCCGTGCCTAACACAAGACAAGAAAGACAGGTTTGCAAAGAATAACGGTGACAAGAAATCGCCCTCCAAACTCATGTCACAATGTATCATTTGCTGCTGGCAACAAATCTGGGTTATATCTGGGCTAGTGAGCCATAAAAATAATAGTGAGGCTGTACTGAGATGTCACATCATGTCAGTTCATACCTAATTATTGCTCCCAAAAATTACATCTTTGAGCACCACTACTCTTTGTGCAAAAATACATGAATGTGGCAAGAGGTCACATGATTAAAGCTGATTAAAGGAAACTAATTACACCAATTTCACTAGAAAGGCTTTCCATAATCCATCAAATCCATCCATCTATCCATTCATCCACCCACCCATAGACACCCATTCATACTCACAGTCACACCAGAAGTGACCATATTTGCTAATGCTAGCTGAATGTTAAAAATGTTACTGTTTTTCCTCTTACCTCTGTTGTATTGGTGGAGATCGAAATCTCCATAGCAAATGGCCTGGTAAATGGCCTGTATTTGTATAGCGCTTTACTAGTCCCTAAGGACCCCAAAGCGCTTTACACATTCAGTCATCCACCCATACATACACTGGTGATGGCAGGTCCATTGTAGCCACAGCCACCCTGGGGCGCACTGACAGAGGGGAGGCTGCCGGACGCTGGCGCCACCGGGCCCTCTGACCACCACCAGTAGGCAACGGGTGAAGTGTCTTGCCCAAGGACACAACGACTGTCCGAGCCGGGGCTCAAACCGGCAACCTTCCGATTACAAGGTGAACTCCAAACTCTTGAGCCACAATCGCCCAGCAACATACTACTGCTAACAGCTACTTACATAAGAGGTTTGTTGTGTAGTGGGTGAACTCATTTTCTAAGCAAATACAGATTTCAAAACTTGTGGCAATAACTGACCACAGTTTCCTCCAGTCCCTTCAGGTCCTGTCTGGCCTGCTCCCTCCTGTCCTGCTGCACCCTGCAGCACATGAAACAAGCATTAATAAGACTGGAAAACAGTTCTGCTAAACAAGTGTGCATTTTCCTGTTAAATAAACGCGAGAGATGTTACGTGAGCTCTTCCAGCTGGCGGCTCTTTTCCTGGTCAGCAGCCTTGAGCTTCTCATGCTCCACTCTGAGCCTCTCCTGCTCCAGCATGATCTGCTGGTTCAGACTGCACAGAGGTCAGGGATAAAATCAGCCGAGTCATGTAAGTTTCGCTCAAAGAGACAAGCGTTAGGTGATGTGGTGTCTTACTCCTGCAGCTCAGTGATAAGCTTCTCCTTGGCGTCAAGCTCATCTCTCAGGCTGCTGATCTGCCTTTGATGGGCCTCTCTGTGAGTCTGGATCTGCTTCTCCACAGCTTCCTGAAGACACGGAAAAAAACAGCTAGTCACTGCATGAGATGAGGTGGGCAATCACACTTTGTACGTGTTACAGTACCTTGACTTCATTTGCAGACTGGATCTCGTTCTCTTTCTCCATGGCATTAACCTTCTCTGGAAGGAGAAGAAATGATCCATGTTATTGGGAACAACTGGGATATAACAATGGATCTTCTTTAGTTTCTTATGGCACAAACAAGTACAAACAGTATTTTTCTTAAGCTTGCCACGTCATGTAAACCCTTTTCATAGTTTACTGGAAACAAGATTTAAAGGAGAAACAGGTATTACTTGACATGACTTTCAGGGAAATCCATAAACACAGATACTTCTTTGAACGTTCAATGCTAATAATCAATACTTATGACTTATTCAAGTTTAGTTTTACAAATTCAGGTTTAAAACAATAAAAATGTCATGGTCCCTGGATCTTGGACCCAGGATTTTAAGTTTCTTTATGGTTTTAAGGATACCTTTAAGTTTGCCCTTTATTATATTCTCAGTTTGTAGGATTCTAGTTCACCTTCTTGCTTATTAAATCTATATCTTTTGTGATCCCTTTGTTCCCCCAGTGACGTTCCCGTGTCTGTCTAGTCTTTCTGTGTTCTGTCTCTGTGTTTAATCTTCTATCCCTGTGTTAGTTTGGCATGTCATAGTCTGGGTCTCAGTGTGTATGCTTGTTCCTGTTTTATTGTGATAGTCTTGTGTTAAGTTTAACTTCCCTTGTCTTGTTATTCCTGATTTGTTCCCACTTTGTTTCCCATCTGTTTCCTCTCCCTTCATTACCTGCTGTGTATCAATTGTCTGAGTTTCCCCCTTGCTCTTTGTCACATTGTCCCTCTTGCCGTGGGTCCCTGTGAGTTCCATGTTTCCAAAGAGATTTTCCTAGTTAATAAGTTCTATTATTATTCTGCACCTTGGTTCCTATGAAGCCACCAGTAAAACTACCGTTAAGGTTGAGTTCTGTTCTCTGTGTCCTGTATTTGGGACCTGCCTGCTGCACCGCGATGCACAACAAAAAATGTATCCAAATATTTTTCACATGTGAGTTGTCACAAAGAATTAAGACAGCTGTGAAGACAAAAGGGGTCAAGGTGCACCTAATGAAGTGGCCGGTACATATAATAAATACATTTTTAAAGAAATGTGGATTTTACCCTATCTGACTGGTCAATAGCCCTAAAACACCAGAGAAGATTAAATCCTTTTATTCAGGGTTGTTTCCAAGACTTTATTTTTTAAAATCAGTGTGTGAGACTTTGTTTTAAGGTCACCATTGCACCACTGTACCCACTTGCTTTAGCTTTTATGTCCTAAAACATTTGAGTCACTATACAGCAGGGGTGGGCAATCTCAGTCCACGAGGGTCGGTGTCCCTGCAGGTTTTAGATCTCACCTTGGGTCAACACACCTGAATCACATGATTAGTTCGTTACCAGGCCTCTGGAGAACTTCAGGACATGTCGAGGAGCTAATTTAGCCATTTAAATCAGCTGTGTTGGTTCGAGGACACATCTAAAACCTGCAGGGACACCGGCCCTCGTGGACTGAGATTGCCCACCCCTGCTATACAGACAACTATTAGTTAGTTTAAGGACCTCTTACAGCAGTTTCACTGCCTTCTCCACAACAAACCTTTAGCCAAACAGGGCTCCTTGTGCAAAAACAGAATGGAGAGCAGAGAGTGTGTTGCTCACCCTGGGCCCTGGTCCTGACTATTTCCTCACTGAGAGAGTCCACATTCTCTTCCAGCTGTCTTTTCTTCTGCTCCACATTCTGGAGGGACTCCGTCAGGGACTTGATTTTGGCTTCTTGCTAAACAACGACCGGCCAACGAAAGACATGAAAAGGACTCATACAAATTAAATGACAGTTCTTTTAGGCCAGACCCAATTGTTAGGCCCCATTGTTATTGATATAGAACCACATAATCTGACATCTTAACTATATGTCACTATGGCGACAGCATCTGAGATGGCAGCAGTTGTTAAGCAGCTGTTACCTGGGAGATGCGGAGCTGACAGGCAGTCAGCTCGCTCTCAGTCTCGTCCAGCTTCTGGGTGCTCTCGGTCTGTGTGCTCTCCAGCAGCTTGCTGCGCTTCACCATGGTCTTCACCTCTGACTTCATCTTGCTGATGTAGAGACGGGCCACAGTGAACTCTTCATCAATGAGACCACTGCTCTCCTGTTGCTGAGGACGTGAGAGAACATTACGTAGGTCAAAGACATTCCTCAGACTCAGTCCCACTCAGACCATCCATGGAGTTTAAAATAGATTAGGAGTTTATCAAAATTTCTTGAAGAGCATGCAGTTGGAGATACACTGGAAACCAGTGGAAACAAACCAAGATGCTCACAATTCCTATTAAAACTAGACAACAAACTGATTGACTGTCGTCTGATCATGCAGAACATTAGTCTGCTGAAGCGTTTTCTGTGAGCATATTTGTGCTTTTACCAGTTTTACATTTGAATCAATCAATTTCACACTGTTGGTTCAACCAAATCTGTTTTACCAATTTTTTAAGGACTATTGAAAGTCATTATCTGCAGAAATTCAACATTCATAGTTTAGTTTCTGTTTCTTATTTTTCAAGATTGGGTGCTTTTCTTTTTTTGTGATAATAAAGGTTGATTTGAAGTTCTACTTTGGCAGGAACTTTATCAAGGTTCATGTTCTACATTTTCTGACTGAATCCACTAAATAAATTGAATGAGAGATACATCCACAGTGGAATTAAGTGCTTGCAACCAGCCTATGCAAAACCATCCTCATTTTCAGCAAGGATCACCTGAATACCTGATGATGTTGATAGTTCTTAGACCACAAGTTGTTAGCTTGTGGTCTAAAGCACTGTTATTTCATAGTTTTAACCCAAATGTCACTTTTCTGAATATGAAACAGTGTATCAGAGCCAAACTGGGAACCTTGATGTCATTGCTTCCCACAGCGATGCCTATTTCAGCCAGGTCTTTGAGTAATGATGACATCATCTCAGTGACCCTCTTTTTCTGGTGGTTGGTCATCTCCTTCAATTTCTGAAGCTCTGAGTCAATGGAGGCCAAGGAGCTCTAGTGGTGGACGATAACACACATCACAAAGCATCTAGGATTAGGATTAGTGTTTTTACTTCCAGCAAATTCCCCCAAAGCTTCAAGCTGCTCACCGATTTCTCGTTCAGCTCCTCACTGAGAGCCTCAAACTCTTTGGTTTTGTTTTCAACTTCCTGACTCTTCTGGTCGTAGTTGACAGCCAGCTCCTCCAGGGCCTGCAGCACTTCCTTCACTTCCTCCTTGGAGGCTTCATTCTCCGCCAGCAGCCGGTTCAGCTCCGTCTGCAACGTGTGGTGGTCACGGCGAGAGGATGCTAATAGCTAGGAGAGGTAAATGATGCTCAGTGATGCTCTCCTATGGTCAGGTTTGAAAGTATGTTAAAAAATGTATCAACAGCAGGGACTACAAAACAGATTTGTGAACAGTGAAGAAAAATGTGCTCAATCTGGTGAGGCTCCTGTGCTTGCTAAGGGTGAGTTACAGTTTGACCTCTCCTGCAGGGCTACTAATGGTCTGCAATCAGCTGTCACACCAGGTTTATGCTAACAGGAGTGCCTAGGGGGATTTGGAACAGCGGGAAGGCACAGGGGAAGGAAGAAAGGAAAGAAAGGAAGGCAAGGCGGATGCAGTGTCACCTCCTCCTGATCCAACATCTGCTGCTTCAGCGTCTCCACCAACTGAGACTGCTGGTTGATCTCATCGTCCTACAGGAAAGGCAGAGGAAAAGAGAAATCCAGTAATGTTTCATTCACATAATTCTCCTGCCAAAGAGCAATACTGAACAGCAACCAGTTGCACCACCTGCTGGTCAAAAGAAATAAGTTCACCACAATTAATTAGAAGACGAATGTTGGTTTTCACATAAATATATTCTCTTTATTCCAATATCAAGAATGAATTTACATTATTAAAACAAAAGAGAAAGATGAAGTGAAGATATTGTGAAATTTCATGTGACAGGAATTGTGAAACCTTTCATAGTTTTCATCCTGCTCTCACAAAGTCAAAGTACTACCGAAATAGATTCAGTGTTCTAGTTTTTACTGTCATCCTGCTGGAGATTAATAGCATGTCTTGCCTGAGGTAATGTCTATTTAAATATGTTAAAAAATCTGTCAGTTGCTACTGCATTGCACTTTATCTGCATGTTCTAATATATACATATATATACACATACATATATACACATACATATATACATACATACATACATACATACATACATACTTACATACATACATACTTACATACATACATACACATACATATATATACACATTCATATATATATATACATACATATATACACATACATATACATACATACATACATACATATATACATACATACATACATACATACATACACATACATATATATATACATACATACATACATACATACATACATGTATATATACACGTACACACACACACACACACACACACACACATACATACGTTGTTTCGTTACCTTGTCGTCCAGCTCTTTGTAGAGCTTGGCCATTTCCGCCTCGTACTTCTCTTTCTCTGCATCTGTGAGTTTGACTCCTGGCAGGGAGCTCAGGGCAGGTTTGGGTGGCGTCTTGTCATTGTGGTGGGTGCTCTCCAGGGCCTGGACTTCTTCTTTGGCCTTTTCTTTGTCAAACTGCTCATCCGCTGGCACACTCTCTCCTGCAGGGAGCAGCAGAAAGATGATATAAGAAGGTCTGTTTCCACCCTAAATAGCTCCCCATCAGAGAAAATATTATGACTGCACACACAGGAATCCTTTTTTTAACAGGTTCTTAATACAAAAAAAAGAAAGGAAAACTAGTCAAAATTAACGAGCCTTCATGTGTAGCATTAGTGCAGGACAGGCATGGTCTTGCATATTTTTCCGGGGGACTGTTTGTCGTTATTAAATATAGAAACAAGGAGCTCTTTCTTTAAAAGCCTCCTGTTAGGATCCATGTGCAGCTCAACTCTAATTGCTAAACACAAGGACACAAGATTTAACCTTGTTATGAACATATCCATACTAACATTAAACACATAAAAACAATGATCATATGTCTGCAAACTCCTCTGCCTCTGCTTTAATGACCCACACATAACCCACACATAATACAGCCTGTGGCCCTCACCGCTCCTCCAGCGGTTCAGCTCATTCTCAAGCCAGGTGACTGTGTTTCTCAGTGTCTTGTTCTTCTCCTTCTCTTTCTCCCATTTGCTCTTCCACTGCTCTGCTGTCAGTTCCACATTCATAGTCACTTGGTTCTTGATGGTCTTTGCTCTGGTGAGACACAGAGGTGAGAAAGTGGTAGCGGTCTGTTTTGAATACTAACAGCACACAGTTGAGCCTGGTTTCACCGCAGAGCCAGCTCAGAGGTCGGTGTTTCTGAGCTTAAGTCGGTGCCCTGTCTTTATGGAGTCAGACACCAAACCTATGGATCATTCATATTTATGACTCTAGACCACAGTCTTCTTTGCCTCTAATCTTTTAATATTAAAACGTAGCTATTTGTGGAACACCTTTCAGTTCAGTAACATCATTTGTACAGATGTGATGACAGGTTTGTGTCTACGTACCTCTGTCCAAAAAGCAATGTAGTCCTGGTCTCTGCATCATTGTAAGCCGAAGGTGAACAGCAAATGACCATAGTTGTCCGACAGTTCCCTCCCAGGGAATCCTGCAGGATTCTGGTCATCTTACTGTCTCTGTATGGTATGTAGGACTAGGTGGATTGAGAGGGACCATATGTCGCATTATATGATAATTCTGCATGTCACAAACAGCATTTACAACAGTGAAGCCTGTTGTGATGAAATGTAACTGAGCAATTTAAATTAAGGACTGCAGTCCACTATCATGCACTTACAAAATATAATATACTCAATTTGTAACATTTTAGCAATATAAAAACCCTCTATGGAGGCTCCTGAGCAGTAGGCCGATGGTTCATCTCAGGGTTCCTAGAGCTTTGAAATAGGTGCAACTCCTGGGATATTCAGGGTGGCTTAGATCAGGTCTTATGATAAATCTATGGTATGTAAAATGTATTCAGGTTCTATAATGCCGTCCTACAATAAAAAGAAACAGTAAATATTTAAAAAATGTCTCCAGCTGCAGGCTGATGTTCCTATTTTTGCACACAAGATTGTTCCACAGTATTGCAAGTCCTTTAACCTAAACAGCTACACAGGTGGTTTGCACTCTGATGATTTCACAACTTTTCATAAATATACACCTTTGCCTTCACATTTTAGCATGCTGTGCTCATCTTTAGCATAATTTTTTGAGGTCCAATCTGGTCTGATAGTCCCCCCAGAACTGGAAATAGTCATAGTAATAACCAAGAAAATGGAGATATGATGTGATCAGTAGATCAACATCTATCTTGCACACATTACATGGTGATATGCACATTTATCCAGTGTGTTAAGTGTTTAAGGCGCAGACATCAGCAGAAACAGTACAACAAATTCTTCGAATTCAGCGATCTGCCTTCATCTCACCCTGTCCCTGTCTTCCTCTTCTGTCACACCAACTCTCTGCATGTCATACAACACTACATCCATGAATCTTCTTTGTTGTCCTCATTTTTTCCTCCTGCCTTGCAGCTCAATATTCAACATCCTTCATATCCACTCTCCCTTCTCTGAACATATCAAAACCACCTCACCCTTGCCTCTATAACTGTCTCCAAACCGCTCATTTTTACTGTCTCCGATGAACTCATTTCTAATCTGGTCCAGTCTGGTCACTGCCAGTGGAAGTCTTAGCATCTTCAGCTCTACCTCTCCTGTTTTTTTTTTGTTAGCCACCGTCTTTAAACCATACATAATGGCAGGTCTAACTTTCATCTTGTAATTTTTCCCTTTCACTCTTGCTGCCGTCCTTCTGTCAAATCATCCCAACGCTCATCTCCACCCACTCCACCCTGCTTACACTCTCTTCTTCACCTCTCTTGTGCACTGTCTGTTGCTTTGGATGGTTTAAGGTATTTAAACTACCTCTGCTCCACCTTCTTATTCACACACATGCATTCTGTCATGCTTTTACTGGATTTCTTTATGCATGCTCAATCATTTAGGTAAGTAAATCCCAGAAGGTTGATTCTGTTCATCTGGACGGAGCGTTTCCAGTGGGAGAAACGTTTCATCGCTCATCCAAGTGACTTCCTCAGTCTCAGCTGACTGCAGGTTTCCCCAACCTTATAAAGAGCACATTGCACAATGACTGAAACTAGCACCACTGGATGAACAACGCTACGTCCAGATGAACAGAATCAACATTTTGGGATTTACTGGATTTCATTCCTCTTCTCTCCAGAGCATACCTCCACCTCTCCAGGCTCTCATCCACCTGCTCTCTTTTGTCACCACAGATCCAAATGTCCTGTGTAAACATAATGGTTCACAGAGACACCTGCCTGGCCTCTTCTGTCAGCCTGTCCATGACCACCGCAAACAAGAAGCCGTTAAGAGCTAATGTAATCCCACCCCACTTCACAGCTCTGTCACCATGCTCATGCAAATATAACTTATGGGATCAAAATATCTAATGAACGAATCAGCACATTTGTGATAATAAACTCACTTCAGCCTCTCCTTTTTACGAATTTCATTTATAAACTTTGAATCACATTTTGGAGTGGCAGTAATTCTAACGCTTCACCAAGCAGAGTCGCAAACTGTCTCACCGAGCCTTCTGCCAGAGCTGAGATGACAATTCCCAGTGCAGACAGGGACTTGTTAATCATCTTGGCTTCATCCAGCACTGTACCCTCTGCTCCAGTTTTACCCACCTTTGAAACACAAAAACAGCACAATTGTCATAGTGAAGCTGAAAACTGTGTCACATAACAGATGCTCAGAACCTTTTTCTTTTAACAAGATCAGCTTAGTAAAAGAAAGTTGACAAAGCATGTCAATGGCTTTCCCGGGGTTTAGCGCTATGACTGGTCTGTTAACATTTTACACTTTACTGATGGAAGATTGCTCTAGTTTCCCCCCTGAACTGAAGTGGCAGCACGATAGCATCATTAAACTTTTATCATACCGATCCATTTAATACAGACACACTTTGCCACTAGGGAAAAGGTAAATGAGAGTAAAAGAGCTGTTTCCACCCTGAGTTTTAAATCAGGCCTGGTTTCTACTCTATTAATAAACAACTACTTAAAAGCTACTCTTTAGCTGGTTCAAGTCAGAGGCGGGCTCTTGAAATTGGGAAAAAACACATTTGCAGAGGTTATGAAGATGAGAGAGGTCAGAGAGGAGGAGGAGGAGGAGGAGGAGTACTGAGGATCATACTTTTTCACTCCCAGCCAGATCGACGAGGTACAGCTTGCCGGTTAATTTCTGTTCAGTCTTACTGTTTTCCTGCTTGATGTTGATGAGGAAGATGCTGTGACTCCTGGAGCTGTGCTCATTCATGTCTGAATGTACATGTGGGCACACAAACAAAAAAACAGTTATTACTGATTATATTATTCTAGGTTTGCACGCTATAAAAATAATGGCCCATTGAAGTGTTTTTTCTGAGGGATTACCAAGGTAAAAGAATGAGACTTAACCAGACTAGAATACATAAAAACTCCAGCTGCGACTAACACAGGTAGCTGTAGCTGACTGGTATCTAAAAGGCCTCACATCTTCTAACACCTCTTGACTGTCCATATGCTGTTCTTGCCTTTTTAATGGAATTATTGAACATAGAATATGTCCTGCTGAGTGGAAAGATAAATGGAAATGGACTGGTATTTTTAAACCTGCAGGCACAGGGAGGATATGCAAACTCCAAAGTCCAAAACCAATCCTTGACATCTGGAATGGTGGTATAGTGGTGAGCACAGCTGCCTTCCCAGCAGATCAGCATCTCCTTTAATCTTCATGTCACAGCGTTAAATTAGGAGATCACACAGGACCTTCCGACTGTGTTATCCTGCTGATCTCAGGTAGAGCAAAAACGTTTGTTGTGGTGGCTGCAGATCAGGAGGCAGAGCAGGTCATCGACTAATCAGAGGACTGGTGGTTGCTCCAGTCTGCATGTCAAAGTATCATTGAGCAAGATACTGAAGTTGCTCACTGGTGCTTCCATTGGAGTATGAATGTTACATAGAAAGCAGAAACAAGTGCTGGTGTGAACTGTTGTAGAAATGCATTATGTAAGAACCAGTCTGTTACCATCACAGTGGCTCTATGCATGGACCTGCATGCAACCAAAGTCTGACTAGATACAAACAGTCAGCTTCCAGCTTCCAGGACCAAAAATGTTGTCCCATGCTTACAGATTCTGTATGTGTCAAGAATCGCTGTGTGGCGGGCAGGAGTTGGACCCAAAATGCAGGCTCTCAGACACGAGGGGTGAATGCAAAATCACAGCGACATGGAACAGAGGGAGATTCCGACATAAATACACAGAAGGTAATGAGTGAGGTGGGAACACACGGGGAGCACAGCTGAGGACAATTATGCATAACAAGACAGGGAGGGCACAGAGCTGAAAATACTAACCCAAGATGCGGACCTTAAACGTAACACACGAAGAACAGAGACACAGACAGGAGGGGAGAGAGAGCATGGGGAGAGCACATGAAGAAATACACGAAGGGAAGAGGAAAACACGGAACACAAGGAGTGGGAGCAAAACACAATAACTCACATCACTATATAAGACAGTCACACAGAGGGAGACACAGAAGGCAACAACACAGGGGGAACACATGGGCAGAGAAGACTAAACAGAACAGAGGGCACAGAGAAACATGAGGGGCAGGGGATCAAAACCTAGGAACCATAGAATAAATCACAAATGAACTTGACATAATACAGAAACACAGGAAAACTAAGAACGCTGGGTCAAATGACCCAGGATCCTGACAGTATGTTCATATGCAGATGTCCGTTTACAGAAATTATAATTTTCCAACAAACTTAACTGATGCCATAATGGGATCCATTTAATTCAGAAAATAAGTGCATAATTAAGTCAGCTCAGCTTCAGTTTAAATCGTGTACCCATGGTTAGAAAGAACCTGACTTTAATGTGTTTTTCACAGATGTCTTCTTGGCTCAGCTTTTGGGAGTGTGGCAACAGTCAGGAGACTCAGTGAGGATGAACCCATGAGAGGCCGCAATGTACGAACTCACTTGTGACAGCCACGCTTCGGTTATTTTTGCCTTCGTCTATGGCTTCCATGACCTCGTCAGGAGTGCAGACAAAACGCTCGGTACAGCCCTGGGGACACATGAACATCACAAGGAAATATTATTCTCAGTAGCCCCACAGCAGGACTGGTTTATAGAGACACATTTATTAGCTGAAGGGACCGTGACACGCTAACAGTCTCCACTGGATATTTATGAAAGGAGAGCTAGTGCTTCATGGTCTCAGTAGCTTTTGTATCTCCTTGGATTTCTTCATGCAGTCATGGTCTATGCGACTTATAGCTGAATGCCAAATGAAATACAATGATCTGTAAAGCCTTCTTACCCTTTATACATAAAACCCTGTAGGTAAGCTATCACATTAGCATCATTGTTTTGCTCTGTTGTTCATAACTAATGCATTAGAACCAGCAGGGAGAAGTTTGTGACTGTATGACTGCAGACTTTGAGTTTAATCAGAAACAATGTTGTGCCTTGAAAATGAAGCACTCAGTCTGTCTTACCTTGACATATGGGACCCTGTTCTTGTCCTCATGTACAGGAAGGTTGGTCTTTGACACTGTGGAGGAAAATGAAAGCAAAGAATGAATCATGGTCTCTGTAACAGGGTCTGACTGATGATGAGCCCCGTACATACCATCCAACAAGTCCCTAATTTTGTCCAAATAGATTTCAAAATATGAAACCTGCAAAACAAAAGCGCACAGTGAGACTTTATCAGATCTTTTCATGTGCGCCTGCCTCGTTGCTCAGCTACATACTTTGATGTGGAACTCCAGGTTCTCATCCATGGAATAAATGTAGTTAAAGATGTCTTGCACAATTCGAGGAATGATTCCCATCATTTCAGGGTCATGAAGCTTCCCCTTCAGGACATGATGATAAAAGTAAGACAGCACAGAATCTCAGGCTTTTCCTGGCTATTTTTAATATGTTTGACCAGTAGCAAAAAAAAGCAACAGCTGATACTTCATAGTACCTCCATTGTGTGTGTTTTGCCTGAAGATGTCTGCCCATAAGCAAAGATGGTCCCGTTGTATCCCTCCAAAACATCTGTACAAAGAAGTAACACATTTAGGATTGGGGTTTGGCTTTGTATTTCATGAACAGATTCCAATGCACAGCTTACCTTTGACTATCTTCTGAGCCACAGCATTATAAAACTCCTCCTGAGTTGTCTTGGACTGGAACACACGGTCAAAGTAGTATGGTTTGCCCTTTAAACAAGAGGTGGAAGCAGTGAGAAATAGTAAAGTATACCATCAAGAATTTAGAGTTTGCTGCACAACAGCAGCCCTACTTTTTCATGCTCACTGCACAATCTTTTTTCCCACTGTTTTCTACTTTTAGTTTGTGTTTGTAATATTTTATCCACTGTTCTTAGTGTCTCTCTTTTAGTCTTGTTTTACTTTGAAGGTCAGCTCTTTGGGGGGTATTGCTTTGCTTTGATTTCCTGTCTTTATTTATTTCCCACCCATGCATTTACATAAGCCTGTATTACTGTTTTCTCCTCATGCCATCTTTGAGTCATCTGCTTCTAGATCAGTGTCCCCCCCTGGGTTTTCTGGTTTGAGATTTTAATTTTTCTTTCTTTGAAATTTTCTTTGTTGAACATGTTTGTTATATTTAGCAAATTATTTATATTTAATATATGCTTTGTTACTTCCTCCTCTGCCTTCAGGGTGTCCTCAGCTGAGGCACTTTAAGAGCATCAGATTAAAAACATAAGATACTTGATGTGACACAGCTCAAGTGTGTTCGCAAGTTACTAAACAAGTGGGATATGTTTCTAAACTATTTTACTACAGTGAGGAACATTTTGGGGGATGGCTGTGGTTTGGCAGGTTGAGCAGGTCATTTACTAATTGGAAGGTTGGTGGGGTACGAATGTTAAAAAGCACTTAGACATTAAAGAAAGTGAATGTTCATGTTCAACTGCTCCGAAGCAGTCACATCAGCCAGTCACACTGCAGCAACTCAGTGCAGGCATGGTGAAGATGACCTGTTCAAGTTGATTTAAGTGGCTTGCATTAGCCTTAATTAGCCACTGTTAGTGCCTCCAAAATCAGCATTTCCAACCCAAAATATAGAACGATGTAAAAAAAAAACAACAATTTCAGTTAATAAAATGTGAAAAGGTCTGCTTACTGTTTCGCACACTCACCATCAGCACACAGTCGTCCCCCTTAAACTTGGGTATGTACTGGTCTCCGCGGGCCACCTCAGCGCTGTTCAGCGGCCTGAAACGGCACACCACCTTGATGGTGCACTCCGCCGCCGCGTCCCCCATCCTCGCCGCAGTGGATGAATGGATGGATGAAGCGCTCAGAGAACAAAAATGTGGTGCTGCTGAAGTTGTCTGTCGCTCGGCTCAGAGACTTTCCCCGCAAAAAGAAGTCAAAAGTAAAAACTGTAAAACATACATTCATTTGTGTTTCTATTCAACACTTTTCAGCGAAAGCTGACAATAAAAGTCGGCTAGAAGAAACCTAACAGCATGCTCGCTTCGGGCGCAGCATTGATGAAAAAGCCTCTTTGCAGAGCAGGGCTGAACTAAAAAACGATTAGAGCACATGACACATGAACAGAAGCGTCACATTGCTGCTCATGATCTGCGACGCTGTTGACCACCCGACGGTCAGAAGTCACGTTTAAGTACTGAGTAGCTTCAGGTATTTTAAAAGAAAGAAGGTACATTTATACTGTAGGGAATTTGAAGTAGGAACTCTGGGTATTTTACAAGAATATATATCTCACAAGAAAGAAAGACAAGTGACAGTGTGCACTTTTTTATATAAGTGCTGTGGATATAAAAAGTAAACACACCCGTGTTACAATGCCAGATTTTTGTGCTGTTAAAAAATTAGACCACAATAAAAAGAGAGCGCGATGAGGAAGATGATCCCATTGCTGATGAGGACTGAGATGAATGTATCAGTGAGAATTGTGAGTATGATACCATGAATGAGGACGAATTGGAGAAGTTGTTGAAGATGAGACTGAAGACATCAGACTTCATTCCCCTCTTATAGAGCAGTTACCTAGAAGACACTCTGCAAGAATATTAACAGGCTTGGTACTTAAACCTCTGAGACAGATGTTACAGGAAGCTGCTCTGTCAAGTTTACCAAAGAGAAGCTTGGAAGTGAGACTGCTCTGAGACTGCTCTGTGCAAAAAAAAAAAGAAGAAGCAGAGAGGACGCTGTGAGCAAATTCCAAGGATACTAAATCCTCAGCTTTTTAGCCCTTTAAGAGGCAGTGAAACAGACACAAACTACAGAGAGTGTGCACCGTTAAACTCAGCCCTCAGCTCCTCCTCAAACAATAGATTCTGAGAGAGACCTTTTAAGTGCCTAATGTGAGTTATTAACAGCTACTCAGTTAAACAGTCTTGTTTGCAGGAATGGAAAACTGTGATTCCCTTACATGGTTGGCAGGCTATATTCTTGTGCCAGGGCCTGTTTTTACATATATAAACATGCACTTTAAAATACTGACAGCTGTTCTTTGCTTCTCTACTGGGCTACATTTGCTTTTTCTGCATCTGTCTCAGTAGGTACTGATGTAAATAAGCAGGGTTTTAAAGGCAAGTGTATCATATTTGATACATGAGTTTTTGAGACCATCCAAAAAAGACTAAATTAATAGCACAATATATTTTTAAGGAATAAAATGCAATGTCCCAAATATGATACAAAATGAAACTCATATGTGCAAATTAACTCTTTTTTTTTTTAAATTGTCAGAATGTTCACAGAATTTTAACAGGCAGTTATTTCATGGTTCAGGCTTTGAAGGGTTAAAAAAATCAGCAGCTTTATGCTGATGCTACTTTTATAACGTTATTCTTTGCCTCTCATGCTCAACACTGCTCTAAACTTTGGTTACAAAGTGAGGTTCACTGTGTGGCCCAAGACAAGTCAAAATGTTGACCATGATTATGATCTAGTAGATCAGGGCTGCCCAATCCCAGTCCTCAAGAGCTACTATCCTGCAGCTTTTAGATGCATCCCTACTCCAACACAGCTGAATCAAATGGTTTGATTACCTCTTCAGCATGCCATCATGTTTGGCAAAGGCCTGATAACAAGCCATTCATTTGATTCGGGTGTGTGGGGAACAAGGATGCATCTAAAAGCTGCAGGACGGTAGCTCTCGAGGACCGGGATTGGGCACCCCTGTAGTAGATGATCTATAAAGACAGCACAGTGTACTATCAGTGTAGAGGACAGATATTAGCCAAGATAGCTTGCAAAACATCTCCTTACACAATACAGTTGTGTAAATCCACAAAGAACAGTAAACCTCAGAGCAACAGCAGCAGCACACATCACAGCCTGTACTTTAAAAACACTATTGACTAGTCTGCATTTGAAACACATACAAAGGCACAAGAAGAAGAAACCAAGAAAGTCAAGGTTGCAGAAAGATGAATCATCAGGTTTAAAATGAGAAGAGGGGAATATGTTCTCTTTACTGCATGCAAACAGAACACGGCTCCCTCGTGTATGAGGTCGTCTGATTAAATGTAAACTCTTCATGGTATTTTTTTTAAAGCATCCCTGCTTTACTTGTGGTGCCTGAATGTTGGCAAAACAGCTTTCCTCTGAAGTAACTAGCAAATCACAAGCATTCTGATTAATTTTGAGCTTCAATCTGCCTTCACTGTTTCCTGAGGGATCACCAACTGCTAACTTAAGGTGCTTAAATATTTTTGCACAACTTATTAAAAAAATAATGTTAAAATCTTTTAAATTGAAGTATTTTCATTTTGGAAGTTTGGAAGTATTGCATATCAAGGTTTTTCTTCTGCAAGAGTTGAAGAAAAACCTTGATGGTTTGCAGAGTGTTGATTTGGTTGCTTTTATTGCAAAAATCATACTTGAATGGAAAAAAAACACAGGTCTTCTTGCAGAGCTTACCTTCTTCTTGTCACACTCAGAGTTAATAATGGATAAGAAAACATATTCTGCACCCCTGTGGTAGGAAAAAGGTCAGGAGGCTGTACAGTATCCTGAGGTGGTTGTGCATTTTAAATGATGATGAATCACTTGTGTACAAAAACCTGCTTGATTTACCGGACTAGTGATGTCACATAATGAAAATGTACCTTATACATTTTACCTTTGTACACATATCATTTTGTATTGTAATTTCTGCCCATGATGTTTTGGATTTGTAGTTATGAAAATGATATTGAGAAACCGGATGGGAATGAGACAGAACTGTGGAGTTGTCTAAAACACATGAAATTTATATCCACCTGCAGCTCAGAGCAACTTTCAAAGCACGTATCTTTTCCAAGACTGTAGTGGAGGGTTTGTTTGTTTTTTAAAAATGCAGTAGCTCCCTCTGCTGGACTCCAGGCTTTCCCGATGCCATTCTGGGGGAAATATCTTATTAAATTGAATAATGTCTGCAAAACGTCTTGATTCATTGCCTTCCGCTTATCCTGTTCAGGGTTGCCTGTCTTAGGTTGAGAGGCAGGGTACACCCTAGACAGGTCGCCAGTCTGCCGCAGGGCTAACACATAGACAAAGACAACCAACTGCATTCACATTCACACCTATGGGCAATTTAGTATTTCAAATTAACCTAACCCCACTAATTAACTAAGTGTGGGAGGAAGCCGGAGCCCCTGGAGAGAACCCTAGCAAACACGGGGAGAACATGCAAACTCCACACAGAAAGACCCTGGCCTGATGTGAGGCAACAATGCTAACCACCGTGCTACCGTGCTCATAGACTGTACAACCAAATCAAGTTTGAATAAAAACGCTGTCAGCTGTTATAGCTAAAGAAATCAATTTTAAAATTCTCTCCCTTCACTCCTCTGTGACCGTATGTCTGAGTGCAAAGATCTCACACTTTCAAAAGCCACCCACAAAGCTTATAAGGAGGGTGCTTGTCACATAAATGTCACACAAATCACTGTAATGATCTCACTGATGGAAAATAGCTGAAAAAAAAAGACCCCGAAAAGTAAACAGCTAATGTTGCTAGGCAAAAGACTTCAGAAGAAAGAAACACAACTGCCCTGGCTGGCTACCATACATTCATCTCTTGGTGAAAAGGTCCATATGAACAAGGAGACTTCAACATTGGGACTTCATCTTCTCTTCAGGGGCGGATCTACAGGGGTGGTATGGGGTGGCATGTGCCACCCTAAAATAATCTCTTGCCACCCCTAGTGCCACCCTTGCTTTTTGCATATGACAATGTTGTTTATTAAGATAAGCTAGCATTAACCCTTTGAGCCAAGCTACAATTAATGTTGAATATAAATTCTAAAACTGGATATATTGCATAGTGTTACCCTCCCTCCCCACTGCTAAAAAATGGTTCAGCCCTGCAGACAGGCTTTATTTCTTGTTGTCAGTAGCAACCAATGCCTATGATTGTGCTGAACACATTTTGAATCTAGAGTTCATCAATGAGGTCGATGCGGGGATGGCCCCACTGCTCATACTGTTAGTTCAGAGTGCTCACGATGGTCTCGGCTTGTCTTACGACAAAAATAAAAAGTAAAAACGGACAAAGTGATAACGTGCTCCGTGAAAAGCAGACTGTGGGTTGGAAGAGAAAGAAACAGAGATCTGTTTAGTTTCACTTACAGAATGTATCTTAACACTTTCCGTGAGAATATTTAAAGTAATAAGTAATATATGATATGGTTTCTTTTTGTTTCCATTTCAGTGCCACGGTGAACTGAGGACTCAAACACGGGACTCCGATGGTTGGAAAGAACACAGTTTTATTTGACACTCCACCAGGTATATGTTCAATATTGCAGGAAAAGTTCCTATATACAATAGTGCCAGGGTAAGGGCTCCGGGAGATCAAGTTAATATGGATATATACAAGTTAACACGAAGGCACAGAATCAACAAGAGCTATGAACTAATCTTAAAGATGGGGCTACACTGGTGCGAGTCATACAACGATCCAGCGATGAGTAGCGTCCTTTCCTCAGCTTAAGTAGTGGCAAGGATAATGAGGCGCAGGTGTTCACTCTCCACAGGTGTGTTGGGCGAGGGCAGGAACCCACAATGAGTTCCACTCCGGCGAGAGAGAGAAAAACAATGACACTGTTGATCATCTTCATGCTGGTCCACCGGGCCGTGACGTTAAGTAACATGAATATGGAAGTGTAAAGAGGCACACAAGATCTCAGTTATTGAAGCACTACAGGTTAAACCATGGCCACCTTTGCTGCAGAAACGCTTATCCATGCACATATTTAAATTGTCTGTGCACTCCAAAGTCACCTATGTAGATCACATGATCAGACATTGCAGAGATCAGTAGATTGCTGGTGAGGTGATTGAAGCAAGCTATTCATTGATGATTTCAAAAGAGGGTGACCAGCTCTCTTGAGGTCAGCAAATATTATTGTTATTATTATTATGAAATATTTGTTCCACAAAACTAAAGTGTTGTAATTTGAATTTACTTATGTACACTATGTGGAAATTGTTGACATATCCTGGTTTAGTAAATC